TAAGCGTAGGTAAGCCACCACCGTCAACTGCCGCATGGTATTATGCCATGGAGTGCCATCACGAGTACGTGAGCCGCCAACGGCGACTTGTAGATGGTACCGCCATCGCGAGTACGCGAGCTCCTATCAGAAATTCGTTGCGCCGTCCTTGGGGGCAAAAAACAGTGAAAGCTAACGCACGAAACCAGAGGGCAGCACAGGATGCGATCGCACAAACCTGCCCGTAAACAATCTCCCAACTTATCTCTGTCATGAATATGGAGACAGTGTAATGCTCCGAGGGGTAGCTATTAAGGGGAGGGTGACCAGGTATTTGGTGCCTAACTTTGATTGGCTAATGTTCTGCGCAGGCGTAGTGGCGTAGAAATGCATTCGAAGGAGATTATGATAAACGTGGTAAATAGTTACGTATTTTTGTGAGGTTGTAAAAAAATTGGTTTTATAAAAGTAAAAAAATGGTGCACTGTATTGTATGTATCTTCCTGTAAGAACAGGTCGGACATCCAGAATTGGAATAAAACGAAATTTGGAAGTAGTAATACGAAAAGTACATTTCACAGGTATTAAAATTGTTTATCGCATTTACAAATTATAATTAGCGGTACTGAGCATGCGTACAAATTTATTCCATCCGATTCAGGCACCAAATCTACTCGTAATTCGGCTGCACTCCCCTTGTCTAAGATTGTACCTTATGCTATGTCTCTATATTCCTAGGTCTATGGTTGTAGTCCATTTTATAATCTACCTGTTCAGAGCTCAATAATTTAGTGTTTTTCGAGGTTTTTGATATATACTGTGTAAACACGTAGTTTGCCGTAGAAAATTGTAGAAAACTAGTCAATTACATTTTCAATGGGAAGGATCCTGTGGATGTGCATTATACGGCATCCGTTAGATTATATATAAACGTCCTTTCGCACACATAGAAACACAAATATTTTAATGGGATAATAAACACATGAAAGTGCCGAATTTTGGCATTAAGGATCCGGCGCCGTTCGTGCATGCTTTTCATTGAATTTGGCGTGAAACTGAACCGAGTTTCCTGGTTAATCTGGCGCTTGCGTTCAAAATTCTTTAGAATTTTACGTTTCCAATATGGTGAATCCCGCGGATGAACGATAAATGTATCCGTTAGGTTATAAACACTTTAGCACACATGTGATACATAGACATTTTTAAGAACTAATTAGTTTGAAGCTAGCGTTCAAACTTCTTTCGATTTAACCCTGTTTAATATCAAATTTCTAATTGGATTTATTAATGTCCATTTAGAAATATAAGGACGTAATATACCTGTCGCGTATAATACTAGAAATGTATTATACGTTGTAATGCACACGTAGAAAATCATGTATTTTACATGACGTAATATACCTATCCAACCCTGTCCCTGATTCCTTGAATAGTTGCAATTGAATGGTAATCTTATGTGGGTGTGATTTTGTTACTAATGTACATTTTTATGGTTAAATGATGGTGCAAAATAACATGGCCAAGTGTGTAATATGAAGTGCTTTATTTTCTGGACGCATCTACTACTCGATGCGTTCTTAGATATTTGGATCTCGGAGTTTTATCAGAATTAGAGGTAAATATTGATTAAAGCAACTTTTCCTAAATTGTTTCTGTGTTATGTAGCTAGTGGGAAGAAAAAGTTGTCCCAGTGAATATTTACCAATTTGCTTATACATATAGGTAATGTTAAGGTACACTGATCTTAGCATACTTTTTCTTTTGTTTGTACAAACAACATAAGTAAATCTCATTCTCTCAAAAGTATAAAATAAAATGACAGTCTTATTTGCCGACTAAGGTACGTGGGCCAGTCTGTCGCACCTTCCTTACTTATTGTCAGTTGGATGCATCGCAGCAGCCAATACCTGCTGCATTTGTATCCTGACATCGAGTTTCTTGCTGTCAGGAATTTGCCTGAGTATGGGTAACAATGACAGTAGAAACATCTTGTCGTAGTCTTCCTCTTCCACAACTCTTTGACTGCTGTGCGATGAGAGCATGTCATGGATCTCATTGTCGAAGGATGTCAACGATGCTTCGCACAGAGCTTTGGGATATCTAGGTACTCTTCTATCTACTTCGTAAGTAGTACCGGCATGTGAGTATTCTCTGGATGTTCCTGGATGAGTTAATGGCATTTCGTACTCCTCGATCACAGGGTTGTCCATTTCTCCGTCACTTTCCTCAGACTTAAAATTACTAATGTAATTCGTCGTATTTCTGGAAAGTTAAGAATTTTTATTAGTATTGTAATCATCAAATCAAACATAAATCCACAGTTTGAATGAAGAAGTGTATGCTAAAGGAAAGACGAATATATCTCACCTTTTATTCTCTACAGTGGGCATGAGGAAGAGGAGTCGATCGAAATATATGTATTTTTTCCGTTTGCGACCAGCAGGGCCTGGCTTCCTGGATTTCTGCAATTTCAGTTCCTTCATAAAGTAATCTCTAATATTTCTCCACTTCCCCCGCAGGTTTTTCTCTAAAAAAAAGAAGGAATAGAAAAAGCGTGCAATTGCGCTGCTTGATTTTCCACCTCAGATCATAATTCTCACGGTTTGAAAACAATCTCTCGTATTTCATTTCCTTTGCAGGTGATTAAAAAAAAAATGCTACCGGAATAGGAACATAGACTAACTTGTTTTGGCTTTGAACCTCCGTCGCTTTACGTTCATACGTGTGATATTTGAAACGCTTCGAGTTTTTCTAACTATCCTTTTTTTCCAATCGGAATGAACTTGAATAACCGCATCGAAAAACGTTTGCCATTCCGACCAACAAGAAGTGAAAAATATTTGTTACGCGAATATTTGAGAATCGTGTCGAGAGATTGGCAATTTCCTTGTTTCGTTTGATCAGCGCGTACCGCTTCGTTGAACATATTTAGCTTCACTGTTTATAAATCTAGTTTGACAATAATTTACAAAAGCTAAAGTAAATTTCGCAAAATGTGGAGGTTGAAAACACCGCATTTTGCGAAATGTCTGATTCAACCTCTTGTTTACATTTAGCGGTTGTTTTCAGAGTCAATGCAATAATAAAATGTAGACCCTGGTTAAACCGGGCATAAATATCTCTTAATCTCGTCATTATTAAACCCTACTCGGTCATAAAACATTACCAGAAATTTGTACGTATGTATGTATGCTAACCGGTCTGTTTTACGTGCAATATATGTATAGGATATGTATTTTCGGATAGCCGTTGTTTGGCCGAGGGCCAATTTGAAGTATCCCGCGCAAATCGGTCAAGTCACGTGGCGTTCGATAGATCGATCCCAGCAGCGGTGCTCACCCTCTATATTTCTCTCCTCGTCGGTGAGGTGTTCCCAATTGGGTGTCATCACTTGGCAAACTTCATCCCAAGCGTTCATCTTTGCGTTTCGGTCGTAGTATTCGTCCGAATTAACGTCATAAATCGCCGGCCTCTTTTCGATCTCGACGATGAATCTTTCCGTGTCGAACATCGCGGGGTCTGCGAGTCGATAAGTTGGGTTGAGGCGCGCATTAAACTTCCGTCCTCCGCGTGAGGGGCAAAGGTGGCAAGGTTGGATTATTAATCCGTCTATCGAGGTTAGGAGGTTAAGAAATCCAGTCCATGCAGTCAATCTTGTTTGAGAACCCCTGGGTTCTTCGCTCTACACGGACGCGCGGCGGACCTGCGGAATGAGGCTGCGGAAAGAAGAATCTGCATTAACTCCTCTCCTTCGCTTTCATTCAAAAGTAGAATATCATTATCACTACTATTTCTCGGAAATATCTCGAAAGAAACTTAAGAATTAGACCCCGTGTCTAATTCTTAAGTTTCCAAGATTTTTACGCGCGAATCCGCGAAGCATTCAAATTACGGAGGCACACGTCGCAAGCGATATCATACTTTGCGCTTATTGAGATGCCGATTTTTTCCGGGTTGGGCGATAACTGCAAATCGGAATCTCCGTAGAAAGAAAAAAAAAGAATAAAAATACTCCGGAAAAACCATTCACCACTTCCAGGCTATGTTACAAAAGGAAAGTCCAGTATTTTACCGAAAATCAAACGGCAGCCTCATCACGTGAACGGTCAAGTGGGCGCGCTCTGTGATTGGTCGGTTCGTCAGCCAATCAGCGCGCTCCTCGGGCCGCGGAAGCTCGGGCTCGCGGATCCGCACGAGGCACAGTGTATCCCGCTATCCCGATGTCCCTTGGACGTTCCTCGCAGCTCTCGGCGTCCATTAAACGTCCGAGGACGTCCGCAGATGGTCCTTGCTCTCCAGGAAAACGCGTCGCGGTTCTCAGGACACCCGGCCGTTGAAAGGCCGCAAGCGCAGGCGAGTAGGCGAGTAAACTACTCGCGGAACGAGTTCCGAGCGCGGTTTAACCGTCACTGCGGAGAAACCGTTTCTCGCTTCGTGTACGGTGAGCGTTGCGCCATGTCTGCGGTTGCGGTTACGGCGCGGAATCCACGCGGCGGCGTTGCCAAACCTCCTGGCGATTGCGGCACGTATTCCTGGCTGCAGGGAAGCGCATATCGACTCGCCGCGAGACGCGGAGACGCCGCAGCGGAGGAAGCGGCCATTCCGCGCGGAGCCCGGCCGCGTCGCGACGCAGGCAACGTCGCAGCGCGGCAAGCGCTGCGGAACGGCGCGGAACGCCGCGCCGTTGCGGACTGGCGCGATATTTATTATCGCGATCGTTCGATCGCGCGGCCGAGCCGCTTCGAGCTTCCCGGCGCGGAACGGCCGCGCGGAACGAGACGAGCAATGGAACGGCAGGGTCGTTGCGTTAGTTCAGAGTATTCATTATTCACGTTTTAAGAACTCACGAATTTAGTGGATCCTTCTTGACTTTGAGGTTAGGTCACAAAACTACAAGCAATTTCGGTACGCCGCTATTTGCATCGTAGTGAATCTATTAGGAAGCGGTGATATATTTATCGTTTACATACTGAAGTACCTTCACCGTGTATAATACTTTGCGCATTCATTTAATCAGTACATATGCGGTTGGTACTGCCCTCCGATTACATGTAGGCTTTGAAATAATGGCAAAGCTTAGTTTGAGTTGATTTACTATCATGAGGTAATTTTAATCATTTGTGATCAACTCGTTTTCGATAGTAGATGCATGTATTTATTTTTAGGAATGCTGCAGTTAGTATCTTGTTTAACATAGATTATAGTCATCGGAAAATGCCGTTGCACTTGGAAATTAAAAAAATTAACACGTTCCGCGTAACAGCGGCACGGAACGTGTTAACTGAAATTAAAATAGCTAATGATTTTCTTAAGGGATATGAATGCAGTTTCAGTTAAGTGTGTGGAAATTGTAATATTTTAATTATTCACAATGTGGAACACGCTTAAAAGAAAGTTCAAAAGAAGTACCACTTTTTTGGAATTTTTTGGGAGAGATTTTAGCCATAAAAAGATCTGCACGCTTAAATAAAGCTGCATCAGGTGCAGGGTTGATGGAGCTTGCGCAATCTGTAGAACCAAATTTTACACTGAAATAAAAATGTATTCGATGAAATAAAAAAAATATTTATTAACAGTTCAAAATGTGACTAATTCAAATGAATTAATAGAATAAACTGACCGGAAGAACGTCGCTTCTTGATGCGTGATGCTGGTTGTCGATCTACGCGTCAGATAGCCGACGTGTCCATTAGAGAGGCTGAAATCATAACTCAATGATATGTCCATGATTAGAACAAAATTACATTAACCTATCATTAACCCGTCATTACTTCAATTACCTAAACCCTTGCGCAACGCGATAACAGCTCTAACAAATAAAGTCATCCATAACGGCGTTGAACCATGGCGGCAAAACTTCACAGAAGAAATAGCAGGTCCTGCTTGAAAACTTTATTTTCAAGGCAGTGGAGGAAAAAAAAAGTAATTAAATTTCAAGGACAAAGTGACGGAGCATTTCCTGTAATTATTATGGCCGTGAAATAAAACATGTAATATTTCTAATATTCACCTGAAGTTTCTTTTCTGCAGAATGAATCAGGGCAGATTTTAGCAATTTTTAAATATACCAAGTAGAATCAACGCAGCTGCCCTTTGCTTATCAGTGGGACTTTCAAGTTTATCGTACATAGGACGATCAACGTCGTTAAATCGTTATAGTATCATACTATTCCAATTCAGCATGATGGGGAGTTTGGTTGGGGTCGGTTCTTAAAGGGGAAATAAAGTTCGACGGTAATCCACGAAATCACGGCCACGATTCGATTTCGGTATCTACTGCTGAACGATAGTTCCCACTTTCATGGGACGATTCTTTGCTCTTATTGATCCCAAAGGGTGGCAGCCCCGTAGTCGACCGATCGTTACAGGAACCAAGGCGTCGCCCTTCCTGTAACCGGAAGCCTTAAACCTTACCCTTGTTTCTATAAATCTGGCTTTCCACCCCAGACTTCTCCCCATTTAGCCTGGAAATAAGAATCAATGATCCAGTTCCCGAAGCCTCGGTATTTACTCCCAACCTGTTACAGCCACTATTTCATATATCACCATAGGTATAATTAATTAATCCTCTAAATATCCATGTAATTCAAAAACGACTACATACGAATTTCCGAAAATATTACTTAAGTGTCAGTTTTTACTTTAATCGCAAAACCAGGTAGATGGAGAAATTCCCAAAGGTCCAAGGGATGTAACGTTAATCGATATGTCGATACTCCGATCGAGAAACTCGTTCTTATCTTGGTTGTTCATCCACGTTCCAACGTATCAACCCACCTATAATTAAAACAGGTATCCGGCATTAATCTATAGTATTACATGTATAGGTTAAACGCAATGTTCATTATTTTGAATTATTTTCTTTACTTTCATATCGCAATTAATACGGCAGATAATTCGACGAGTTGTCAAGGACGATCGTCAAGGATCCTTCCGCACCTTGGCCGGTCGCCACTGACCGTTTCTCGGCCCTAATTCAAATATCCTCTCATTACGTCAGGAGTCGCCGCAGGAATTCGCGTAGGCCGCGAAGACCTTTCGGGGAACAAGACTAGCCGGCTCGTGATTGGTCGAGCCGGTTCGCGCGGGAGCCGGCGGACCAATCACAGATTGCGTCGCCATGTGGTCCGATGCGCGCACCCGGCCTCGGGGAAACGGCGCTCGTATGGGTGCATTCATACCGACGCGACGCGACAGGATGCTGCGTGCCCAAGAGTGCTCCATGCCCTCGTAAATGTGTAGTGTACACATAAATAGCCGCTTTATTGGCGTGAGGAACCGCGCGCCTAGAAAATTGTATGGTTGATGAATAAAGTGTTGCTTAATTTGAATGATACCTTTTATTATTCCCATCCATCAACCTGTACGAAAGACCGTGAATGTCCTAGGGCTGTTCGATATCTAAAATTCAATAATCACCGATACTCGATAACTTTCACTCACCGGTAATTATTCATACTTATCGAAGCTCGGTATATACCGATCCTTTACATTTACCACGATCTTGATAATTCTGGAATTACGACATTTTACCGAAACTGGCAATTATTAAAGGCCGAAATTTATTTAGTTGTAAAAAATTAAAAAGCAGAATGTAACTTTTTTTAAATTATTCAGAGAAGTTAGAGAAATTATCGAGCAAAATGTACTTTAATTAGCGGTCTTATTGGTACTTATAGTTTCGTGGTGTGTTTGATATTAGGTTATTGGTAAGATGAATTTTGATAAGAGATAATCGTTCTTAATTTTTGAAATGAGCTTTTGTATGACGCAGAGGCACAATCTCTTCGCTTGCGCTGGAGGTAACAAGCTTGAGCTTGTCGGCGCGCGTTCGCGCTTTTGATTGTTATAAAATATTCGGTGAATATTGTTCAATTTTTTTTCATTATAGAATATTAAGAAATACTGCGTAAAAACAGAGTTTCGATAAATATCGTCACTTCGGTAAACACCGACTTTCGACATACCGAATTTCGGTAAGTCGTAATACCAGGGTTCGGTGGTTTTTATAATTACCGGTAATTACCGGTATACCGATACGTAAAATAGCCGTAGAATGTATATTGGGGGACACAGATTTTTTTTTTGTATAGGTTGAGCCATTTGAAACAAGTCATTTTGACCCGTTTTGGAAGTTTAGTGTTAAAAAAAAGGCTCAGAGATATGTATACTTGGAAAGGGACGTGAGCATAAATTCTCTAAGCATCGGTTTCACACAGAAAGCCTCGGGATGATTAAGCGAAGCCGCTATTTCCGCGGTGGCGTTATGAAAGGAGCGTTGGAGAAATTGTTTCTCAAGCGACTCTTCAAGGTGTCCGTTTCGACGACTGCGAGATAGAAACCTTCGGGGAATTGTGATTGCCTAGGAAATTATACTCGGAGAATTGCTTTCGATGTTATTATCGCAGGAGAATTTCTTAAACATGGCTCGTGCTTTCCGCTCTAATAGTGGGAAGTCGACGTAACCATCCATGGTCAATTTTCTTATATCCTTGACAAGGTCATTGTTATATTCCCTTACTTAATATTAAAAATCACCTTGGAAAAATATTTTTGTCGAAATATAGTATACGTAGTCAGAAGTTTATTCAAGATACATTATTTTGAAAATTTGCATTAGATATCATATACGATGTTGTACAACGTATTAGTATTCAAGTAATACGAATTTCAGAGGTTATGTATACTAAATTTCGAAATCTTTTGTACATAATCTTCGATCACATCTGTGCATTCTTATTCGTATGCGATTCTGTACGAAGATTATGTGTATAAGGGTGTACGACTGTAATAAGGTATACATACAAAGGCTTGAATACTTTTGTATACCGATTTTCGCCCACATACCCAAACGCAGTTGTACGTCTATTTCGAGAAAAACCCGTCGTATTACATTTACTAACATTTGTATCGATTTCATTTATCATCTCACAGTCTCCGTAGAAATTTGGAATACTTTCGTATGAATTCTCACGTAGCAAGAATCTCCATCGAAATATAGCATACATTTGTCCGGTTCTCATTTCGAGTTCCATTATGCTTCATTTTAGTATATATTCGTGTTCGAACTATCGAAATATGTCCACCAGTGCAGGTAACTAATAATTAAAACGACCAAGTTAGACCAATCACTAGGACATTACCCTTCTATACAAGTACTAGATTAATGGCGGTCTTTCGAGTTTCCAGTCTCCACGGGTCATCATTTCCAATGACGTTCTTCCCACCGTAAGGCTTCTCGAAGAGGTCAACACTCGCGCCACGCACCGAATGCGTAGCCCACTCTCGACTGCTACACATTATTCGATTAGTGGTACACAAGAGAGTGCGTTCGAAAGATGCGAGGACAGAGGAGGGAACAATCCGGCGCGTGGGAGAGAGAGACGCTAGAAGGCGGTTGCGCGTGAGAGGGAGGGAGAGAGCGAATCACCGTGAATGCGGGCGATGGTGTGTCCGTCGTTCCTGGGCACACACGGACGCGCCACTGGTCACACACAGAAGCACTACTTGTCACACACTGACGCGCTACTTCTCACCCACACACTGATGCGCTACTAATCACATACTAACGCGTTACTAGTCACACACCGACGTGCCACTACGACGACGTGACGAGGACTGCCACTGCCCACACATTGACGCGCAGAGGGGAGGATGCGATTCGAGCGGCATGCGCATGCGCGTGGAGGAGGACCAGATCGGCGACGGAGAGGTATATATAGATCCCATGGAGGAGAAAGAGAGAGGGAGGATGATGTATAGAGCATGGATATACTAAATATGCGACTGCTCGTATTTATATGTAAGCTCGCTACATGTGTGCGGGTCATCCGTGGCGTGGGTCTGCGCGAAAAAGCCGGCAGGAGGCGGAGGGACCGAAACTGCGCGAAAAAGCCGGCTGGGTGCGACGAAGAGGCGAAGAGGGAGTGAGAGCAGACACGCGGCGGGGTGGCTCCATAGAAACGGTCTCGCCGACTCAAAGTCGCTTACCTCCGCTCAGTCGGCAGCCGGCAGGAAGGAAGCGTGGGTCTCGGTCTACTCGAACTCTTTTCACCGTCGATAACTCGATAACTTTGTAATTCGATAACTCGACGGTCACCGAACTCCAGTCGACATGACCAGCGAATTTCTCGGAAAGAAGTACAAGCTCTTCAGCAGCGAGAACTTCGACGACTTCATGAAGGCTCTGGGTATGATGGATTTAATCGAAATACCTTTTCCCTACCCCCGAGAGTTTGTCAATTCTGGATTACCGGGAGAGACTTTGACGTTGATCCGAAAATCTGGAAGCGGCTTAGAGGGTGTTAATGGAGAACGAGCTTCTCGCTCAAAAATGTATTTGGTTCGAAACTCTACCGAGTTTCTTGGTTTCAGATCCGCTAGAGTACACGTATATCTACACCCTGGCTGAATTTAAATATTAATTCCTTTCGTGACAAGTTTGAATAAACTCGGCTATTTTTCACTTTACGCAGGTGGACTGTTATTTCAGTTGCTAGATGGAAAAATTCGAATACCTTTTTTCTGTGAATTCAGATTACACATATATATGCACCACGTCCGTAAAAAATGATTTATCGGATAATTCCCTGTGAAATAAATTTTTGACGCTCGTTCCGTTAGCTCGGCGAATATCCGATATTCTCGCGGCACATTTCATTATTCGTCTGAATGGGCTTTGCGACCTTTTTTTCGTGTGGCGGCAAAATTGAAGAAATTTTGTTAGTCACATCCCATTTATTTGAGCGTTAGACTTGTCTCCGTTATATTTAGTATTTGTTTATTTGCCCCGTTCTCATTCCGAGAGAATTAAAGTAATCGCGAATAACAGAAACTTGTTTCGCCGGTATACTGTCATGTACATATTGCATTGTCATTAAGGTCAGCGATGTACAGTTGTCGCCAGAGCCGACAGGTCTGACGAATTGCGCGAACGAATCGTAAATTTGATCTTCGAGCGAATGTCCTGCTTGAGAGGGATTCAAAATATTTCTCTGCAGTCATAGATTATTTTAAGACTCCCCCCCGTCGCGTATTTTTATAAGATTGGGAGAAAATATAGATACAAAGAGGTTTCTCATAAATATTCGTTATGTCATTTGAATTGATTTACATAATCCGGCCTACATTTTATTACACCGCAATTCTTACATTTGAAAAACAAATGAATTCTCATAAATGCATCGCCTAGTCTCAGCATTAGCAACAATCGATGTAATTTCATAAAAATTCCGAATGCTGATTCATTGCCTTCGGCAGGTCCCGGCAACCATTACTAGCGTCAAGCTTAATTGCAACGAGAATTGCACTCCAGGCATTATTTCGCCCTTTTTTCCCTTCGAAGCAGGACATCGTTTTTATCACCTCGCTTAAGTTCCGACAATACAAGCCGCAATAACTTTTATCAGCTCATGACAATAGCGATGTCGGTTGTATTAGAAACGGGAGCAGCCTATTAGATTACTCGAAAAAGATCTGTACACCTGATATTCTCCAACTGCCAAACCGACAACAATCATCATTGCACTAACCGTAATTGCGGTGCCATATAAAGAATGAAAATATTTCTTAACGTAAAAGAAAAAATAACCACCCTCGTATAAAATATTGAATTTTCAAAATCGGGTCTATGTTCAACTTCAATTAATGATAATGAATTACGATATTAGAAAGAACAGCATGGGCGAAAAGATTGCCAGAAAAGAGATGCTGCAACCCCCTCTGGGTTTCGTCTTAAATAACACCATTGAACTCGAAACGGCGGTCGGCACGGTCTCATTAGCGGTGCATTCACCATGCAATCGTTAATGAATTCTCGAGGCGGCTCTTATTGAAATGGCCAATAATTGAATCAATTGTAATTCGTTGACGGTGCTCCCGGTCGGGCCCTGCTGGTTCCCGTCTCTCCAACGCATCGACTGGCCGGACGCTCGCGGCCGCCGCGCCGGTCCGCAGACAGTCCAATTCACGCCCAATTTAGGGACTGAATTCATTCTTCAATCGAGGCTAATAAATAATAATCGCAGACTGGATCGCTCTAATGCGTGCGGGTCTATAGACGGCCCCGCGCACTTCTCTGTGTGCGTAGAACCCCGACCTCTTGTTACGCGCTCTTGGCGTTTCCGATGCATTTCTTGCGCACGCGATACTACTAAACTACAGCGTGGTATTCAAGATACACTAAAACGAAATGAGCATTTTTGGAGGACTAGAACACTCCCCCACGAGGTTTGTATGCTTTGTGAACTCATTTTTCAACGACGGAAAAATCGAAAAAGGAGTGGACGATAAAGGCGGAAGAGAGGTTGGTTTTGGTTGCGTATGGTGTTCTGTTCCTATGTACGGGAACCCCACTTTTTGTTGTGCGCTTTTGGTGGTTTCGATGCATTTCTGGCGAACGCGATACATTTAAGCTGCATCGTGGTATTCAAGATGCACCAAAAGGAAAAGAGTATATTTTGGGGTACCAGATCATTCGACTAGGAGGTTTGTATGCTTTGTGAACTCATTTTTGAACGACGGAAAAAGCAAAAAAGGAGGGGACGATAAAGGCGGAAGAGAGGTTGGTTTTGGTGGCGTATGATGTTCCGTTCCTTTAAACGGAGAAGTGAAAAGAGGGATCAGAGTTAGCGTGGGAAAAAGAAGGAAGAGAAAATGACTCGATAAGCATGAGTCTAGAAAATCACTCTCTTTGGCCTGAAAGGGTCCTTGGTTGATGAACAACTCCTTATGTAGATGCCACGCTTTGCAGGGGCGATGAAAGTGTTGCCTATGCAACAGGGGCTGTATATATACCTAACTTCATTTCTGAGATATTAAAAGAGCTGATTGGAACTTCTAGAAAAATCTTATCGACCACTCAAGTGGACTTTACGTTGCAAGTCATGTAATTCCAGTGATTGATAATCGAGTGCTCTTGCATCGGCAACTCTAAAATTAGTTTGGGTGAGTGGCCAGAGATGGAGTCACTGTTAATTTTGCAACATTGATTAAGTACATTGATTTGTTAGAAAGTATTATAAATAGTTGATACGATCGTGTATTAAAAACATATCGGAAAATGTTTCATTTCCAGGTCAGGGATGATTTGAAGATAATGTGCACGTTAGCGCTAAAACGGTGCATAGAGACAATGCATTTTTTTTTTCATGCATATGCTATTGGATGTTTTTTCCTGGGTATGGTCACGCGATTGTACTTTATATTGCGCACGCCGTATTTCCAGGGAAAATGGTAGAATTAAAAGAATGAAGAAAGAATGGTTCAAATATCCTGGTAGTTTGATTTGACATACGTCTCATTACACGAAGAAATTTAATTTAGAACGTGTAATTATTTTATGAAATTAATTTATCTCGGTTATTTGTACGGAATATCTGAAATGTTTGTGCAAATATTGAGAAACTCCCCGTGCTCCGGTTATGTAGTTAATCGATAAAATACCGGGGAATCGATCAGAATAATGCATTTTCACCTGGACATCCATTTTATGAGAACCTTGGCGTGCTTTTAGAAAATTAAACTTACCGAGAAATTGTTCATCGTCGAGCTCGTCGAAACGCATGTTCGTGTTTCACTCTTTGCAATGACAAATTACAGCCACGGAAGAACGCATCGATTTTAAATGAGAAACGTACTTTGTAAGATAATTACTACTCCGCTCGTTTTTCACCGTACTTCCCTCCCGTTTACCAGTCTGCAGAAAAACAAAGAAAATTAGACCATATAAATAAAACTTGGCTTAAAAAAAAAGTATAACATCAATTTAAGAGCAGCACATTTGCAATTGTAGTAACTTAAATGATATTTGACTAATAAAATAGGAGACACTTGTGACACTCGCGCGTATGTGTTAAATCAACAGAAGAAGTTGATATCTTCGGGTGAAAGTGCTTCTTTTATCGCGTTTATCAGTCGGTCTTACCGGCAATTACAGATTCGACGAGTTATCAGTTGCCAAGGCTCGATAAATATTACTTAACAAGATTTGGGTGAGTAATCGTTACAGAAGTAGAAATGTAAACGCCGGTAAACCTTGAATGTCCAATAAATAAATGAATTGTGAACGTCTAATAGGTAAATAAATATTTACTTACATTTAATAACAAAATGAATTTTCTTTACAGCCTATGTCGGCCTCTTAAGGTGATATGAAATGGTCATTCTATATATATAAAACGTCAAAATATTTATAAAACTCTCCTTCAAGCTGGAAGCACCGACTCGATGGAAACTTCAGTACGGGATTATGGAGGCCCTAAGGAAGAACGTGGTAACACGAAATTTGTAAAAAAAAAATATACAGTTCTAGTCTTGGTTCCAGTCTGGGATAAATAAAAATTTGTTTTGATTAAATATGAAATTTCATGACCACCACGTTTTTCCTTAAGGCCTCCAGAATCACGTGCTGAAGTTTTAAATGATTCGGTGCATCTAGTTTGGACAAAAGTTTTATAAATATTTTGACGTTTTATATGTACGCTTTCATTTTGCCTTTAAGGGACGTTTTTCGTTTTTTCTTATATTATTATTGTTGTTGTTGTTGTTGTTATTATTATTGTTGTTATTTGTTATTATATTTCTCCAATCACATCCCCTAGGGGCTTTTGATTGTGATTTATCCTTAAACTTAGATACAGTGCCGCATTCTAATTACGTTTTTTCTTCTATTTGGGAGAGAATAAAATGATGCGTACCTCTTTGCCATCGGTAGGGCGATGCATTAGCGATTTTGCAGTGCATTTTCAGAACGACCAGAGTTGCCCTGCAACCAGTAACCAGTAACCGGTTGTGAAACTTGATCTCTCCGATCTTCGGTCGTGTTACATGTAAACACGCGCGCAATCGGCGCCGCAATATACATGTATTTCCTGGGGACACGATTCAGTTTGATCGATAGTATTGAATAATTATTTTCCCAGAGTGTCAAGAAAATGATTGCTTTGAATATTGATGATTCGGAAGAAATAACGGTGTTTAGGTAGAAAGAACAAGTAATTACCGGCAAAGAAATATTTCTTTTTCATTCAAAGAAATGATAATACTTCTTGAATTTCATTGAATCTGTAACGTTTTTAATTGTAAGAAATAACGGTTGGATATTTTATTCGATCTATTGAAAGAAATGCTTACATAGGTGTGAAAGTAAATTTTATTTTCTTGAAGTGAGAACAAATTAATGTCTGAATAAACAACACATCGGAGTTAAACTTTCGGCATTTTTGAGTGAAGACTGTTTTTCTTTCATTTCATTTTATGCTACAGTTTCTGTAACTCTGGAGAAAGGAATAATTTACTTGGAAGAAATGAGAGTTTTTCTCGGTATACAAATCGAGATTCGAAAATTACGATGGTAGTTAACAATTGATTGACCATTTAAAAAATGTTCATAAGCTTCGGCTCTAGATGACTGCCCGTTTAAGTCGTACATGCACTTAGTGCATACTAACAATTGTATGTTTGCTCTCCAAAGACGCCTGTGATAATATCCCCTTGGGATATCGCGCAAATGTTCCATTGCGCTATCTTGAGAATATTTACTGAAAGTTGACGTAATCACCCAGCAAGCACTTGCTTAGGATCAAATCGCAAGCGTTTCCGCGCGGTACTTGGGGGTACGTTCTTAATTTCCAAAACATTTTACTACTTACTTAGGTGAATATGTAATTCCTAGCTGATTTTGCCCCGTTGTCACGTACGAGTCTGTTGTTTTCCTTGGTTCAATACATATTCTGGAAACTTATCTGCAAATATTCTCTTGCAAAGTTACTGGCACGACCTAGAACTCGCGCGATATTTACGAACTAGCTTGGAATATCGTTTTGCACTACTTACATCGTCGTGAGTACTGTGATATCATTCAATGACCAATGCAACCTCGTATTACACGAATAGTCTATTGCGTAATATGTCAACAATAACACTTCCAGCGATACGTTGTTCCTCGGTTTCGGTTTACTTCTATGTCAAAGTCACTTCCCTCAATAGTCCTTGTTGAGTATCGATTCGACGAAGACATCCTTGGATGTTATTACTTTCTTGTTACACGTCTCAGGTTGCTTCCTTGCTACCAGAGGAAAAAAAAAATGTCATCCTAGAAAGGAGTATAATTTCTAATAAAGGCAATAGCTGACTAATGCTAATTAGCCACTTGATATAAGATATATTTGACGCGACCTTCCAAATATTTTCGATGCCATTATCGCGCCTAAGCAGCGAAAATAAGATAAATATCTTAACAGTAAATCGCATCGATCAATTAATCGATATCAAGACAGTACACGAAGAAAAATCAGGGAAATCGTGAGTCGCCGATCAATTTTCTGTAACTCGGAATTATGGTTACAAGCAGATATAAAAATGCCCACGTAAATTTACATACTCAGTGATTGGTTATTTTGATGGCAGAATGAATGATAATGTCACATTCAGCAACTAAGTTAAATTAAAGAAGATTACAATGTAACGTTACGTTTAATTTAATTAAAAAAATATTACGTGTATTTATACATTTTCTAATTTGTGATTTTTTCTTTTTCGTTTTACGTCAGTCTATGTGAAACTTCACTTACGAGGTGTGTAAAAATGTATGTAAATTTCCGGTGATTTTTATCAGTAAGTACTTTCTTCGTATGGTTCAAGGAGTGGCTGATAGAAACCGTTCCTTTCTGTTTTTATTGGTGCGTTTTGCAGTAAGCGCAGAGCTCACTGAATTTGTCGCTCCTATGCAGGCGGTTGGGAAGCTAGTGATAACGATAACTGGACAGAAATTCGTACGGTCGAGAGCTTGTGTATATGGCTTTATTTATAGAAGCACTTCGTACACTCGAGTGTTCGTTTGTATCGGTTAGGGTCAAACTTCAATGTTGCCGTTTCTCCTTAGAGACTGTGATGACCAATCGAGGCGCTCCTCCTTGGGTCTCTCGTAATCGTACGAAAAAATCAACGGACTGATTAGAAATGGTATAAATCCGCCGATCGTTCCGCGCGGCTTCAGTTACCCTCGTTACCTTCGATAAGTCGATCTCCCTCGAATCTCTCGTTAGTGAAAATGACCGACTTCCTGGGGAAACAGTACAAGCTCGAGAAGAGCGACAAGTTCGATGAGTACATGAAGGCTCTCGGTGAGTGGCGACGATTACCGACCTGAAACAGTGTATCTAATATTTTTAAGACACTCCGGGGCCTTGAAGCTGAAGAAACGATTTTTTTTTACATTTAATTCCGTACCCCTTCGAGAGCAGGAGAGGCGTAAACGCTTCATCGGTGAAACTTCTGGGCAGTTGGGCAGGGTCCTTTGTTCTTCTCGGTGCATCTTCGGATTTCGTTCAGAAAATTATGAAATTAGATCAAAGATACCAGACATTTGCGGGTTTCCCGACGGGCAATCGCGCATTGACATGCAGAAAGCGAGGAATCATGTATAATTTATGGAGTCAACTTCATCCAGGTTAAACGGTACTCGAAAGTCCTTGAGTGACGCTTCGGATGTTCAAAGTCTCCTCTTTGTATTGGGTTGGCAGCTAAATAATTGCGGATCTTGTCGATAAATGGTATTTGCAAAAACCGCAATCACTTAGTTGCCAACCGCATAATTTGAATCGTCGATGACCGAGCTCGTGGGGTGATCGTGATTAATTCTTCAGCATTAATGAGTTTCGGTCCGAATGGATTAGCTTTGCCTGTGACGTGGCACGACTTATTTGACCCATGCCGGCGAGTTGAGACATACCGATTGCTATCGAGTCGTTGCTCTCCACCTGCAAACAATTAATTACACATATGAATTAATAAACATTAATTATGTTGCATCTTGTGTTCGGAAGGATAACGTATATTTGCATTCTTATTACAGGCGTGGGCATGGTGGTGAGGAAGATGGGCGCCACCGTGAGTCCGGTCGTCGAGCTGACCGAGAACAGCGGGGAGTACACCCTCAAGACCTCGAGTGCCTTCAAGAATACCGAGATTAAGTTCAAGCCCGGCGAGGAATTCGACGAGGAGACTCCCGATGGCCGCAAGGTCAAGAGCGTCATTACTCTCGAAGGGAATAAATTGATACAAGTGCAGAAGGGCGACAAGGAGACGACCATCGAGCGGGAGTTCACCCCTACGGAAATGAAGGCCGTTAGTATTTCCAAGATCCACCATTCTTGGGCTCACGTTGAAGAGTCACAATTTTGCTGTAACACGGCTAGAATTAATTAAACGGGAAGGTAGCGTTTATGCCGGCAAAGTCAATGCGTGATTACGGGATAATGAATTGTAAATATCGTTTCTCACCTATTTCGGTCGTTTCTACAATTGGCTAAAAGTCCCGACAATTACCACGAGAGGGTCTTCGTGACTGCTTCAATTTGGCCGGGCATTGTTAAGTGACATTGATGTTAGGTATTACGATCGAGAGGTCTGTAATTTTGCTAACCGCCCAAGCGTGTGGATTGCACAGTGCCGAGCTCTTAACGTGTTGGATTTGACTGGTTGTAGGTTTTCGCTTGACAGTAATTTCCTAAAGCTTCTCGTTCGGTTTTACAGGTGATGAAGGTGGACGACATCGTTTGTACACGGGTCTACAAGGTCCAGGAATAAAATAATCCGCGGCGGAACCATGCTGCAAGTGTTTTCTTTCTGCAAGTCATATTGATACTTCCTCTCAGTCGTGGATATGGTGGAAGAGATCATTCCAATAATGCTCGGACGTGCCTCGGGCCAAGAGAGGACGCACCGTGACACATCATCGCACCTTTGTACGTCTGTATGTTTGGTGACTTTCAGCGTTCCATGTACTCTCATTTTTGCATCCTATTGACGATAAGGGTTATGTATGAAGAATTTCATAAAATAAAGTTTATTTAAATGAAGGTCCTCGTTGAGTCGTGCATTCGACCCGATCATTCCCTGAAACGTGAGAGATTGTAATTGAGGATTCTGTTTTATCGGATCTTATTATGTCTGCTTTTATTTCACTCCTACGATGAAGTGTTACCGGTTCTTCAGTTCGATTATAGACAATACCTCACGCAACGTTAACGTAAATGCAAGGGTGTCCGAGGTAGGAATTTGGAGTTCATGTTGATGCAGGAGGTACGTTCCCACCGCGTCCGATATCTGCGTTTACAATCTCCTTACATTTCCTTATCTCACCCCTGGTCGCCTTCAACTTTAGCTCGCGTTTCGCTTACGCAGGCGAATTCTCCCGCGAGAACATCGGCGTTCTTTTCCCCGTCCCCTAGTTGGTGCCACCGTCGAGGCTCAAGTGTCGCCACCTGTGTCAACATCGTAAAACTAAAACGAAATATGAGCGAAGAGGAGACACGCGATCTCGGAGGCTAACGTAACGGTCAAACATTCTCTCAGGAGCACCTCATAACCATGGGAATATGTAGTATCTCAAGAAGGAATCTCCATATTACTCGCCCTAACGTCCTTTCTACAAAAACCCAAGAAAACGGTAAATTCTCGGAAAAACATTGCTCCCCGACGAAACGTCAATTCCATGACGCTGAAACTTCACTAAAGGTACTCCTCTATTTCCAGAATTTGTACCAAATCCTCTCGATATTTCTTCCCTAAAACATACATACATATTCATACATACCCACATACATATATTTCATAATAAGAATTATTTCCTAAATGGGCTCCGTGCTTACCGACTAGCCTTATCCTCCCTTACCAACGCGTCTCCCTTGTCTTCGAAGCTTCGCCAGACTCGCCGCTAGATGGCGCCGGGAGCGCATGCGCAGGTGCGACCAGGGCGCTCCAATCGGCGGCTCGACTTCGGAGCGTGCGGGTCGAAGCGCGGCGGCGGCTGCCATGACAGTCCTCGGTGCCGTACGCCAGGGACGCGCCGTAGCGAGCTGGACGTCGATCGCCACGCGGCCCCTCGCCCGTCGCCGCGTCCTAACCTCGCGAGACGCGCCCCTTGCGGAAGGTGCCCGTGTTCTGGGACGTGCGCGCGCGTCCCCGCTCCCCCGCTCGGCGGCGGGAGAGAGCGCGCCGGACGGCCGGGTAGCGCGAGGGAAGGAGAAGGACACTCGCCGGTGGGCGAAAACCGGAGCGCCGGGCGGCGCGCCAGTGTTGTGACGTCTCGGCGCACGTACGCGCCGCGCGGCTGTCAGCGGGCCACGGAGCGGCATCCCCGAGGCGTCCCCGGAGGTTAGGGCGAGCGACAGCGATCGATCCGGGTTTTCCGCGGCCCTGGACGCCGGGCGTGTTCCGGGCTGGCGTGCAAGTCGGGGTAGTCTTAGCCAGTGACACCTAGTCCTGGTGATTTTTACGTGCGGTACCTGCCTTGCGGCTTTTCTTACCAAGTGACAGTGAGTGTCGGGTGGTTTTTCCATTTTTACCTATTTATACGGTGCTCAAGGTGCGCCGCCAGAGTGATGCGTCCTGTTGCGCCGCTGGGTCGGGCCGGAGTGAGCGGGCGCGGACCGTAGGACCCCGCCGAGGGGAAGGACCGACCACCCGAACGTGGATGGTGCGCGACCTTACGACCGAGGAGCATAGGGCTAGGAAGAAGGGAAGGAAGATCGAAGAGGTGCAGGAGTCCTGCTGAGTTTTGGGAAGAGGGGCACCACCGGGCTCACGACGAGAGGGAAAGGACTGGGATTATGCTAATTCCGGTAGTTGAGGTCTAAGGAATACCCGTAAATCTTGTAAATCGTGGTCCTCGGTGGTACTTGGACCCACGCCCGGAAACGCCGCACACGAAGGCGAGATATTGGACAGAAGGGCTCACCTTGCGCGCCTTCGGAATCGACGGGGAGAGATCAAGAGACCGAAGACTAGGAACGGACGATGCCGTTGCGTATTATGTCATAATATATATTGTATTACGTTGTACTTCACTAATGCCTAGAGGATTGGCCCTCGGATGAGCAGTCCAGCCAGCTGATAGCGGCGACCTCGACATCCGGAAGAGGAGCCTGCAGACGATCCGCGTTATCTCCCGCGACTTACTCCAGACGTCGAGACCGTAAACAGTTCTACCGAAAGCCGAGTTACTCCTCGGCGGTCGCGTAGCCGCGGGAATATCCTGCTGATACATCTCCCAAAGAGGAAAGCTAAAACCTTAGAGTTCAAAATACCTCGATACAGCGTTAAGTCGGAACTAGGAACTACGTTAAAGGGAGTCTCGTCGGGGAATCGAGACCCCTCATTGCTCACCACGCGTGGCTTTGGATCTAGCCATATCGCCGAAGGAAAAGTCAAGCTTCGAAGGAGGTCGCGGGGTGTATGCAGGGTCCTGACACGTAGAAACAGTCCTGGACACTTAATAAAGGTCCCAGGGAGTCCGGGAGTCCCCAGGAGGGAGACGGGCCTGGAAAATCGACCCTCGGAGCGCCTAGATTAAGAAAACGCCGGTCACGTGACCCGACAGGACGGATCCCGGGAAGGGAGACGAGCGCCGCCCTTCTCGAGCCTTGGAATCCACGGAGCCCCATAGAAAATCCATAAAGCACCATAGACTCCGCCGACCTCCGGAGAACCCCCGAAACCCTGCTCTTCGACTCTCGCGAAGAAGGTCCGAAGCCAGGGAGAGATCATCTAACATATCATATAAGTCTTAGAGTTTAAGCGATTTTGCCCGTTCCGGAGGTTCCTCCAGGAACGTCGGCAAGGCTCCCACGTGGATCGTCCTTGGGAGGAAACGGGAAGCCTGGCGAATCGACGTGGAACGGAGAGGAACGGTGATGCGCGACTCGCGCTCTCGATCGCTGCACCTGGACTGGGAGACCTGAGGAGGCTGCGCCGCGCGTCCGGTTTGAGAGACTCGCCGAGGGACCTGGTGGGAAGATGTTCAACTTTATGAAGAAGGCCGCCGAGAAGGACGACAAGGAGAAGCGGAAGCGCGAGAAGAAGGAGCGGAAGGATGTCAAGAAGAGGGATCGAGGCAGCATGTCTGCGGAGGAACTCCTCAGGCTCGATGAGGTGCGGATTGACGTTCTTGATGCGATGACTTTTTTCGGCTCGGAGGGCGATTATTGATGAGCTTCATTTTCAGATCAGAATTTTAACTTGAATTTGAGCAACGACCGAGAGCGGCGAAGCTCGGGTCTTCGGGATTAACCTTCATGACTTCTTTAAGCAAATTTATACCCAAACCGATTTTTATTTAATCATTTTTTTCTTTCACACTTTGATATGGTTTTCTAAGTATGTAACGTCATTTGGCTCGCGCCATGTGTCCGTAAATCGATATTTCTTAACGTTTTATTATCTGAAGATCGAGGAAGGCGTGAAGATTAAACAATCGCATAAATTCATTTCGGGTGCGAGGTCGGATTATCCTTTTCGTGAATTTAATTGCAAATCGCGTGGACGTGGATTTGTTCACGAGACAGAATCGATAGCTTATGGGGACGTGATGAAACGTTTTGGTTTCATGTTCGAATTTAAATTCAAATCGCTAAATTTCAGATTTACGTAGTTAAGGCAGTATCGACAGTTCACGATGACGTGGCGATGGAACATTTTAGTTTCAATGTTCCGAGACATCTCCGTTGGTTCCTTCACTTTCGCCATGAGGGATTCCCGTTTAAAGGGATTTGGAATGCGAGAAACTGGATTAGTTCACCGACTTCTTAGTTTCTAGTGTACTTTCGAAGTTAACCGTACTTGATTGCCTTCGCGAGGTAAAGGGGGTGAGCGCCGAGTTGAAGGGTTGAAACGAGGCCCCTAATTTTGGACCTCTTGCAAATGTATTAACCCTTTTATACTCGCGTACTCGGCAGTTCCTTTGAAGAGCAGCGGGAAACTAGAATGTAAGGTAAACTTGGACAAGAAGGACCCGACTTCGAGCTCTTTTAACATACTTGCTGCTCGAAAGGAATGTCAAGCATACCGTTGTTGATGATGGGGTTGGGATATAAATTACGGAAAAATGGCAAGGTTTCAAGGACCGTTTTTTCCTATAAATACCGGCGGGAATTAACATTGACCGTGGGGCAGAGAAAGGAACAATTGCTTCATGGGTGTTGAAACAAAGTAACACGAACGCTGACTAAAGCTCTAAACACCCTCCCGGGTTTGATAGACGGTCGGCAATAATGGCTTCGGGGTTGATAACGTGGACTGCTGATTATGTTCCCTCGTTATCATTCAAACGTACGTGACGATGACATATCGCGGCTATAATTCGCCGTTGTTCCACGTTAATAGATCCGTAGTGCCTTTCTGGCGTTTCCTTTAAATAAGAAACAGACGGGCAAAGTGCAACGGAATGCATGCGTCTGGAAAATAATTACATTCACGTTACACATGTATAGTTCGCAGTTGTAACGTCACGAAACAATTTCCCCTCGTTTTTCTTTTTTTTTTTTAATGCAACGTCAGACAGTTATTAATTATTATTGTCCATATTGCATTTAACCATGCGTCATATTTTATCCTTGAGCCGTTCATACCGAGAAATCTTGGTTCGCCTTTTTATGGTCAAAGTAGAAATGAACAATTATATCGTCGACGGAACTATTGGGGAAGGAATCGATTATTAATTATTGGCGGCATTTCTCGGGTCTTCGTCGCCAATAATAATTCTAGGTTTGCGTGGGTCGAACCGTCGTCTCGACATTAGAGTTTTCCTCCGTTGGTTTTCTTTGGGAATCGCGTGTTAGCGATGAAGTGATCTCATCGCCGTAATTAGATTTGAAGAGGACGCCGAAGAGGAGCGCTCGCCGCGGAGAAAATTATTAATGTTGCGAAGTTTATGTGCTCGCTGGTGAGAGATGTACAAGGGCATGCCTCTCGTAGGCTTGCACCCGTGTGCAGCATGTTGCACGTTGATTTACGAGCAACGAGTAAAGTACAGACTCGGTACAATCCCAGGGTATATCTTTCAGCATCCACTCCGGTGGGAAAAAGTCTCGATGACGTCGGTACATAAGCTGAATTACGTGCCCTTTACAACCGTGCTATTGAACAGGACCTGAACAACGTTTGTCCCTTCGGAAGAAGAAGAAACACGTTTAAAAATTGTCGCACGACATTGACGTTGCGTTCTTGAACACCCCTGATCGTTGACATTCTTTTTCCAACAAGGGTTCATATACTCATTTGTGGATCCATGACGTTTCGTTGCCGCCATTCTGTTGTTCAGTATAATTCAATGTAATTCAATACAATATCATTTTCATATACATAGAGTAATAACATTCAGGCCCACAGTTTTTTCATCCCTTATTGAAAATGGAGTCGAAGTGTCCTGTACAGTTTTTTTTTTTTATACGGTGTATAATTTACCTATAACTATTTCCAGTTTCAATGCGGACATGACATCTTTCGCTCCTAAATAATAACGATTCTTTGAGTGGAATTTCGCTGCTTGTTTAAGTGTTACTTCTTCGCGTTAAGAACGACGCGTCTATATTTTCTTCTTGCCGTTTCATTTTCATGCAATTTTGTTACTTTACTTTTTTCTTTTTGTTGCACGAGTCGCTTATGATTTACTCGACTCGGTGTCGTTGGGAAGACCTCCGATTTTGTAGCTGCTGGTGACTAATTCGATTTCTCGCTTGCAGGAAATCATTTGGCTAACTCGGCGTGCATGATCCGCGTAATCGTACGAGCGTGTAAACGCCCGACGCGATTCGTGGAGTACGTTTCGATTCTTTGCCCCCTTATTACCGAAGTCTTCTGTGTTTGCGCGCAGCTCTGTTACATTACGTCACGTGGTTACGCACCGTACTCGCCCACTGTACTTTGCAGTATATGTACGCGTATTCAGTGCAACAGGATTACGCCACGGAATTCGCGATATCGAGGCTAACTTCATCAACGGCGTAGTATTTTTCAGGAAACACTGCAAAATTAACGGGATCGACTAGATTTTTCCTGATTTCACGAAATCTTCCTCTGTTTCGAGGCCCTTCGTTCTTAAGCATAAAAAAGAATTACGCCGATTTAAAATTCACGATTTAATTATCTTCATGATAAGGGAAAACTTATCTCGAGTTTTTCAAATCTTATACAGTAATAACGTTTAGAAAATCCGACGGTTTAATTCCTCTAATAAAATAAGAAAAATAATATCCGGGTGCGATAACTCGACTCGTAGAATCTTACACCTGATTTCGTTTATTTAAGAAATTCATGATATATTTTATTTTTCTTCTGGGAAATGTATTTATGCAGAATGTATGATAAATATCGCGCGTCGGAGGCGTCTTGTCGGAGTTAATTTTAGTTTCTGCCAAAAGTCACGCCCATAGGGCCTCGAAGTTCCTCGAGGAATGCCTTTCTTCTACTCTTCTGTTAACAGCAATAATAAATTTTTGCTACCACCCGCCGAAAATGGGCATGTACCGATGTTGGCCATGAGATAACACGCATGATGGACAGTGGCCATAAATTCTTGACACAGTCAAAAGAATGCCTTACACCGCGGCAGAACTTTTTCCCAGCATGTTCCCCCTTTGGATAAAAATCTGGAGATACGGAAAAATGACTCATTATCGATCATTCAATTTCTCTCTCGTAATCTGGTAATTTGGCCTCATCTTCTCAAGTTATTTCGCGTTTGCGAGATGTCGTGCTTCACATTTGCACGTGGTAATTGCACGTCTCGAAGGTTAGGTTAGGTTAGGTTAGGTTAGGTTAGGTCTCACCTTTCCCAGGTCGGACTTTCTTCCTTGGCGGCCGATTTCGCGCATTCCGTACACGCAATTGTCAGTTTATCACACGAGAGCGAATGCGTTATTTCTTGTCAGATTTTCAGGGCTTGTGCGTAGAAAGTTTTTCACGTTCTCGTTGCGTAATCCGCTCGCCTGGCGTGACGATTCGTCATACCTTTTGCTCAGGTCCGTGTCGTGAAATAGGAGCCTTCGCACCTGACGTTTGATTTTCATTCCTCGGGGGATATTTTTATTGCCAATCGATACTTTGGCATGGCACCTTGCCAACTAGCACATCCCCGAAATGATGTCATCGGTATCCGCATTGCTGGAGTTTCATTAAGGCCAGCCATACTTCTTATGCACGAGATTTAAAATTAAGTTATATTTTCTTTACATTTTGTTAAAACTTATTATACACGATTTTAACAATTTCTTCATATTAGAAGAAATGGTTAAAATCGTGTGACTGTGAATGGTGAAAACTGAGTGGTAAATTTACTCACGGAATTCTACATAAATGTTTTTCCGCCAACGAACTTTCGCTTGGCTCTAGTGAAATTGATTTCATTGAAATTATTAGTGTTGCAAGCATTAATTTACGAAGTTAGCACGAAGTGGAGATAATTTTGCGGTAAAAATCTCATGCATAAAGTAGACACAACATTTTTTTTTTTTAGAAAGTGATCTTTTCCGTGGCATAAAAATGTCAGGCTTCTGATGTTGGGGTTTAATAGAATTATTTTTGTTTCTTTTTTTAAAATACGGTTGGATTTGGCACAAGGACGTTTTACTGCAAGCGACACTTGACAATGACTTCGCGAGAACCTCGGATGAGTCTTATTTTTCCCTCGGTTCTCACGAAAGTTCTCACGTGCGCTTTTACATCCGCATGCCTACGATCGCGCGCAATACAGTTGCTTATCGGCGGGCCTTGACTTTTAATGCAATTGCACCGCGCTTTATTGCGCATTGTGCGTGACCCAGACTTTGTAGGCGCGCAATAAAGAATTCGATATCTGTGCCGTATTTCGATTTGCAAACGACACGCAATTTAAATATATGTACCTTGAGTCACGATGTCAACTAAGAAATCAACTAAAGATACTCGATATTAAAGACGTTTCCTAATTGAATTCACCCTTAACGACATAAATTCGGTTGTTCATGACAATCTACTCGTGTCTTTTATGTATACTTTTGTTATTTCGCGAATGTCTCACTTTTTCCTTGTTCATACCGTCCTTGGGGACAGTGTCACAAGGTTCGCATTGAATATTAATCTCGCGGCGACTCATGGAAGCATCCGATCGGGGATTTACATTTCTGACCTGTGTACCGATATTTGCCGAGTGAGAACAACTGTTAAGGTGTAAGTCCGTGTCGATGGTTAATACAAAAAGTCCAGATTACGAGGTCATTAAATGCCAGTCGGCCATTGGGGTTTAACGGGGTAGTAAAAGTCGCGAAAAATCGTTTGTCACGAGATCTGGCACGCTCGGCGTAAAACCCATGGAAAAAAAAGCGTTGTTTATAGATATCCTTCGACTCTGGCATTGTACTTGGAGCGAGGTCGAAAAAGTAAGAGCAATGATCTCAACCGCTGCAATTTCGCGAAACAAAAAATATTAGTATTTGACAATCGACAATCACGGTCTAATGGAAGTGCAAAATTGTGTACTTTCTCCAGCTATTTTATCGAAAAATTTAATACGAACTGGGTGTATCGAGTTGTTTGGAATTTTACCACATGAATATAGAGGCTTTAAGATGGGTCCTGGCAGTCGTGAAATTTAATTTCTTCGAAAAATTAAATAATGTGTGTAGAAAATAAAAAATGAAATTTCATGGGTGCCAGGACCTACCTTAGGAACTTCATGTATGCGTGATAAAATTTCGAAGGATTCTGTAGATCCAGCTCGGGGAAATTCATAAACTAGGTCATTTAAATACTACCTTCATATCACCTTAAAGGGTGCGAAAATGCGGGGACTTAAGGTTGCAGATTTCGTGGATTTTTGTATCATCCATAAAATGTTGGTTGTATTCTTTTTTCCAAGGAGCAGAATTGTCAATGTTAACGAACGATTTTTGTTCTGACTTTTTTCCAGGTGCGAAGGTCCTTGAAGATTCGAGGTCGGCGCAAAGAAAAAGAGAAGTTGCCCAGCGGTATCACGGCGGATTATAGTGCTTCGTTCTTCGCCCATCTGGACAGGGACTTGTTGGAGAACGTGCAAAATCCCGCGGGTCCGAGCTGGACTCGAACCCCGGATGGATTGACGCAGAGCGACTCCTCCGAGGCATCCTTGACGTCCTTGACGAACGCCGTGGGAAGTGGCGGAAAGGCACTTCCGCCACTTCCTCCAAAGCCGCCGAAGAGGGGCATCCTGAAGGGTCCTAGACTGAGCATCACGACCATCGCCGGCGAGCAGGGCGTCGTGCAGAACGGCAACGAGAACCACCAAGACTCGAACCTCTTGGTGAGGAACACTCTGCGGAACGAGGTGATTGCCTATCAGAACGTACCGATGCACCTGGGGGGAGGATCCGGCACCAGGGAGGATACCTGTTGCAGCGAGGAGGAATCCTACACCAGGAGGAGTCCTCAGCATAATCAACACCACCAGCAGGACACGAAGCTCCTGCAGGTAGGGGCTCGTTTTTGTCTTACTTCACGTCTATGAAAAGAAGTCCTGATTCATGGACCCTTAGTTTTGAGATGTGGATATCCATGATTCAGATTATGAACCCCACCACTGCACGAATGCACTTTTGCGCGTCTGTGGCTGCAGGTGGAGGTGAAAATTCGGATCTTATCCCTCGACCTGGACTGGCAGAAATTCTTGCCAGAAGTCGCCTTGCCGGCAATTTTCTCGATTTAGCACGGCCACTTGGAAACTTGCACTAGCGAAAGAGTCGAGTACTGACACTTGTCCGCAATTTCCCACTCCTGCGAGAATGTACCTCTAGGAGTCTGCAAGAGGGTGCTGATGGTTTCTATTGGTAGAAGCGCGGTGTCGATTTTTGGTCTTAGGGTAGAGTGTAGAGCTGTGTCAGCGGTACCATTCCAGTCATTCAGATCTAGGACGGGTCTCGTTTTAACGAACCTTCTTTCACTCTATTGTTCAGAATTTTTGTTCTGTAATGTTACATTTTCTGTATGACTTCGTTTATAGGTGGTGACCAGCGCCAGCCCATCAGCGGATTCCCTGACGGACACGACAAACTCCAGCTTCGCCACTCCACCCTTCAGCCTCTCTCCTGTGGGCGAATCGCAAGGCTTTGCAAGATGGAGGTCCTCGGCGTCCTTCGAAGACCAGGGAGTGGAGCTTCCTCTTCCGCAGATCGTTCCTCTGAAACTTCCTCAGCCTAGAGAATTGACTATCCAGCGACAACCACCTCCTAGAAGTGATTTCGGGTTCTCGTTGAGGCGCGCCGTTGTCGTCGAACGCGCTGCCAATGGCCTCACGCAAATGAGGCCCGTCATCTTCGCGGAACCCGGTGCCATGGTGCAGAACAATAACGACACGGGTCTTTTGCCCGGAGACCGGCTCATCGAGGTCAATGGAATCAACGTCGACGACAAGTCGCGGGAAGAGATCATTGATCTTATCAAGGGGTCCGCCAACAGCGTTACCGTGAAGGTAAGTTTCCTTATCATCGCTCCTCGTATGAAAGTTACAGGATCAACGAATTTATCACGAAAGACATTTTTGCACCAACCGTGCAATTCGCGTAACATTTTTTAACTATGGTTAGGTAATCTCGGATTAGTGGAATTTGTGTGGCATCGACAAGAATCAAGTTAACCCAAGATTAAGGGGATGTGAAAGTGGTATCTGAGGGGTCAATCGTTCATGAAACTTTTCTCCTAACTGGGGGTGCCAAATCGTCCTGTCAGGCACAACATTTTAATTCTTATCACAAATTTGTAAAATATCTATAACAAAATTTTCTTTAATTGATATTTCATGGATATCACGGTCTTCCTTCCTGCCTTCATATTCACGTTGTACACTTTGAAATAATTCGGTACACCCAGTTTGGAGAAAAGTTTCATAAACGAGGCGTCTTTGGCTACACATTCACATCACCTTAAAATCCTTCGTTAGCTAACCATCAGAAATCGGGCGATTGACTCTAGTCACGCGTTAAGTAATCCTTGATTAAGGATTTTAACTATTACGTTGGTGCAATCGGCCCTTAGGGATTTATTTTCCCGGGACTTGATACGACTTAATTTTTCCATTGACGAAGTGTCTTTCACTTTCCGAGGTCACGTTTAATGACTCGCGATTTTTTCTTCCCGAAGGCGGAGGCCATCTGTGGAGAGCAAATAGAAACCCACCACGGTAGTCGGGATCGCTAATGGCATGCATCGTTGCGCCTTAAAAATACTCATTGTAGTAGTTATGGTTTAATAATGTAATCACCGGGAATCACGTCTAGCGGCTTCACTCTCGAGAGTGTATTTTCTGCGCGGGATTGCCGGCGTTTACTCAACTGGCTCTGCTCGCATTAAACACCGCACTCCGTCCTGTTCGATAATCACTTAAATACACCGATTGAGATTGAAACGAAAGGAGCTTAATTTAGGATATAAAGGGAATCCCTGAGAGTTCAGGATTGGGGGATGTCGGCAAAGATGGCCCGGATCGTTAAGGTGGGTTTTAGCCGACTAATGTATTCAGTCGGCCATCTTAAGTAACGGGGCCATCTTCGTCGAATTTATTTTACTGGTTTACAGTTTGCTGGTTCAGGTGGAAAGTCGTGGAAGTACTGTGCATGAAGTGCGTTTTCTGGATTTTTTTTTCGTCATAACATGGGTTGTTCATAATACGATATTTCGAGTTAATTCAGGGACCCGCTGCATTTCGGCACATTCAAGTGTTCCGTAAGGAATAAAATTAAAATTTACGGATACTTCACATAACAGTAACCGTAAGTATAACGGTAATAATTGACCAGTCTGGTCGCAGGAAATTTAATATGGCGACGGTCTTCGACATTTTCATTACTACAGTGATCTTCACCGAATTTACTAGAGAAATTTACATTTCGTTAGTTGCGCCGTGGAGTGTAATGGCGTACACTTTGCTGGGCTATCTTTTAGGTTATTTGGATATTTGAGAATGTGGTATTTTGGTATGATTAATACGATTGGCATACTCGTGCTTCTCGTCAGGAACCCTGGGTTCTTCGAAGAGAGGATCTACCTTTTACTAGTACAACAGTACAATGCTCCAGTAAACGGTGCTCCGAATGAGCCGGGCATTGGCTCTGGCAAAGGATCGAGTTTTGCAACCGTTCGTTTTACGAGGGTGCATTGCCTTCCGGGACTGCCCTGGTTTTGTTGCTCGAATTCCTGCAGATCGCCTGCATTCGCGATCGCCAGCCCTGCAAGCTGCAATGGACCTTGATGAGACAGGAAACCCGAAAATGAGCGCAAACGGCGGGAAAAAATCGAGAATAAATCATCTCCTGGTGTCCATTCCACCTTAGCCTCTCGTCCCGGACAGAGAGAAAACCGGGGAAAAGAAAAAGCAATCACTTTTCTTCCTCTCCAGAATGTCGCGCTAGCAGGTTGTCGCCTTCCGCTTCCGCAGACTGGAAGTCGCTGCGACTCCGACGAGGACTAATATAGCCATAGAGAAAAGCGAAAATCTCCACCTGCAAGTTTTCGACTTAAAAGGAGCCGTTCCACTCGGAGACCCTGAAATCGTACAGCACAGTTCTTCAAGAACTTCATTTATTACCGTGGAAAGTTTCCAAGACGTGTGGAATGAAGCTGCAGCCACGGAAGAGAATGAATCCAAATTGGAACCTCGTCAGAAAGTGGCGCAGGGAAAACCCCGCACGATAATCCGATTTACTGGAAACGAGTTTTACTATTTTTGGGATTTTCTTCGACGAAGGGAAATCCAAAAACGGAATAATAGCACCCACGATACTTGCAACAAAAGCATGGGTTATATGCCTTTTTGTGCAGGCGCGGATGACGAATGTGGGCACTTTTTTGTCCTAGGATGTTTTCAGACTTTGTTCTGTCCTGTCTTTTGACTTCCTTCCGTTTCTTTATATCCTCCGTCGCAGAATGGCCAACTCTAGGTACCGAAGTCGCAAAAAGACGTGTAAACCATGCTGACGTTACGTTAATGATTTTTTTCTTCTAATCGGAGAAAAAGGTGGAATTACTTCTGAGACTCGAGGAGTTTCGTAGCTGCAGAGCTAATTTAAGGAGTTTCATCGTAATACACAATTCCCGTAGGAGTTATTGTATGTAGACGTCATGCTCCATTATCTACAAACAGTACTCAATCGACGTGAAACCTTTTAACAACGGATCGAGCCAACGTCACCATCAGGAGCCGCCCAGCCACTCTGCGTCGCGATCGCGATAAAACGTCGAAGTTGTCACACTCTATCACGCCTTTTCGAAGACTTATCGGCGTTGTCGTTATCTTTTGTATTTTCTTAGAGTGGGAATGTAGTGTGGGCAGCCTTGGCCAGGTCCTAAGAGCGTCGAGAAGCCCTGCGTCGACCTCGAGGGACCGCTGCGTCTTATCACTCCGTGTTCTCCATGTCTTTCCAGATTGTCCTCCTTATCATTCCTTCTGTCCGTCTTTTGAGATCATCTCCCGTATCTTATCCGGAGATTGCCTCGGAAGCGACCACCTCCTCCACCTGTCCCTTGGGAAGGCGCTCGGAAAGTGATCCATGAGACCGACTTCTGCAAGAGAAATCTCGTCGACGTTAAACTCATGGACGTAGGATTTATGGACCTCGCACACTGATCTGACCATGAAGACGGTAGAAATGAAAGAGAGAAAATACGGGGGCTATTTTATAGTTATTCTTTACTTTTTGGTGTGAAACAATTGCGCGAATCGATGTGGCGATGATGCATCAACAGCAAGAGAGGAAGAGAGAAAAAATAGTTTCTATGTTATGTCTCTTTCTTTTTTGCTGTCAGAATATCTTGGATGGTGGATGCATGGACCCCAGCCCCAGATTTGATAATGACCGAAAAATTGGAACCAGAGACGAAAGCGCTGTTATCTCGGTAACATCACTTTAAGGTGATACGAAAGTGGCATCAGAGAAGTCAATCGCATGTGAAACCTTTGTATAAAACTTTACTACACGAATATGAAGGCTATAAGGAAGGTCCTGACACCCATGAAATTTCATATTTTATAAGAAATTTTGATAATGGTCATAAACAAATAAAAGAAAAAGAAGTATTTCATGGGTGTCAGGACCTTTCTTATAGCCTCCATATTTACGTGGTAAAGTCTTAAACGATTCTGTACATCCAGTTCGGAGAAATGTTTCGTGAGACCTCTTAGACGGTACTTTCATATCGCCTTAAAATGCTCGGAAAGCGACATTGTTTACCGGCGGTCAGGTTTTCAATTAATATCTCCAGTCGTCCGGCGGAGAGGGTAATGGGCGCCTCTCGCGGTAACGACGGACTTTCGCATTCCTCGGATGCTTTTCCCTCTCTCGGGTCTTGACAGGGCTCCGGAAAGATGCGGAAGGGGGGCCCCTCCCACATCGTCAGCCTAGAAAACCTTTCCCACAGCTTGGGCCTTATCGGCCGATGCGAGCCTCTGGTCACCTCGGTGAAAGGCACCCTATCTTCGGGCCCGAGGTCGACTCTCGTCGGCGAGTCCCGGTGCGCCTCTGCGGGGGACTTGTTTTCGCGCTCTTCGGGGCCTAATCGACGCAGTCGCGATAGAAACCCGCCGGCGAAAGGATCGCCGGTCATTTTGCTTTCCTTGCACCGGCCGGAGATTACTGCGACCCGGGAGTGCATTCGGAATGCATCGCCAGGCGTGCTCGCGAGGCATCTCGGAAGAATTCCCCTGGAGAAGCAGATCTGGGCCCAGGGTCGCGGCAGAAAGACCGATAAGAGATGGAGATTCTAGAAAGCCTGGGAGCTGCATTTCTGCGGGGCTTATGTAAAGATTTTAATGTGAAAATCGGAGAGATAATTAACAATTTGCCCTCGACGCGGTTTTCGGTGAGGGGAACCAGGAACTCGAGGATCGTTCGATTGAATTTGATGCACTTCTTTCAGATTACTTGGAATTAAATGTAGGTTAATTAACGTATGGAAGTATTGTTTTAATATGTGTTGGACTTTTATATTACGTAAGATTTAATGTAAAAAGTAAATACAACGATGTAAGTTGGAAATTCACCCTCTTAGTTGCCGTTCAAGTTGCTACGTCAAGTTCATCAAATCAGGTGACACATGAAAGTCATATCTCGAGAACAAAGGGTTGATATTAATTACTCCAATGTCGTATTTAATTAGCCATTGTATTTTTGGATGTCGGGAGGGAAATTAGGCGAAAAGTCTAGGAAGTATAGGGGATATTCTAGGGAGATGATAGGTTTATTTGTCGTGGATCTTTAAGGTTGAGATCTAGTGTGGGTATTCAGGGAGTAAATCTGGTGAAATTTGTTTTGTCATCTTCTGTTTTTGGCGCATTACAGGTGGTGCACTTCAGGCGGAAAGATTTATACAACAAACATTGTATCAAATGGTTTCTCTAGGATTTCACGCGGAATGCCGGGGCCTCGGATAGAAATGTCCATTTGTTCGGTTTGTTTAGTTTGTTCAGGCTGTTCAGTT